TAATATTTTATCCTACCTCTGCATCAGCTTTATAAATTATTTAGAGCAAACATTTCAAAGTCTTGCAGAAATTTAAGACAAGGCTGACGCTATTAATTGCTTCCATAAAAAAACGAAAAATCCAATCTGACCATTAGCATAAAGAAATATAAAGAATCTATACATCCCTTAGGAAGCACCCATTCTTGCAACACTGAGCCCTTCAGCCCTGGAGCGATTGTCCTGCCCTGCGTTGGTGAGCTTCAGTGCACACACAGTGCAGGCGGTAGCACTCCTCTGAGGATGGCTACAGGAGGAGGGCAGAGACTGACAAACAGAGTCGGGGCAACCAAAGGCTGCATGATGCTCTACCTCTAGACCCTTTGCCTCGCTTCTGCTTTGCTTTGAGCCCATCTGAGACACTGCTCAGACAGAATACTTCTGAAAGTTCACTCTGAGTAGGAGAGAAAGAAGGGAGTTCTTGTTAGAGCGAGAGAATTTAATGGAGAGAATATCAAGGGAAAATGTAGAAAGAGAATTATAAAAGGAACGTGTTTGAAAGAGACGGCGGTGGACAGGAATAAAGGAGAAAGAAATAGAAAAAGATTTATCTTCGGAAAAAGGAGAGACAATAAAGGCTACAATGACTGTTAGAAACTGTGGGAATGAAAAGAGTAACGGACAACCTGACAGAGAGAGGCATTCAAAAAGTGGGTGTGTGACTGTGGTGCACGCGCCTGTTCATTCTCTCTGTGCATGTGTGTTTGAAGAAGACTCTGCCGAACTGGTTGTGTTGCTGCAGGACAATGTGTGTCAGGCTCCATCAATATGACATGTCTTTGATGTGGAAATACAAGGAGCAAAAGCACAGCCAGCCTCAGTCCAGTCCCCAGCGGGTTGCTGCTACCGCTGTGCACGTGCACTCATTTGTATTTGAGAGCATGTTAGACGGACCAGTCCAGGCAACACCGCCTACTTTCACCTGTCGCGTGACGGCTGCCTGGATGAACTGCTGCAGCAGCAGCTTGCACGTGGCTCTGCTGCTACTGCCAGTTCCATCTCTTTAGATCAAGTTTGCCTTTGATAACGGCCCTCGATAATACAATGTTTCATATCATTCCAGCATCATTTATAAAGGACATGGTCAGATAAAAAAAAAATTCCTCAACCCCACACAGATACCAAGACTTGAGTCCATACTACTGCCCCACGGAAACAAGGTAGCTAATGGTAGCAACAGCTAAGCCAGCAGCCCCTCCTACCTTCCTGTAAAACCTTAAACTGTCGTATCTTGTGTTTTTTTTTTGTTTTTTTTTAAACTGGTTTAAGTATCTTTTCTTTGACAATACAATCCTTAGAAAGTTTGCTGCCATTTTGCTCGCCACTCATTACACTCTGCTAGCTTTGTGCCGTTGTTTTTTGCTATCGCTACATGATAACTCGCCCTTCATAAGTTCTACGTTGCCTCTTTAAAACAGTAGTCGTAAGGGGCAGCCGTGATATAATAACCTAGTAAGCTATTGTCATGGGGAATAAACCCCTTTATCGGATCTGTGCATTGACATACTGATGCCATAATTATTATTTTTTTTACAAGATGTATTTTTGGGCTTTTTGTGCCTTTAATGGAGAGATAAGATAGTGGATAGAGTGCCGAAATCAGGGAGAGAGAGTGGGGAGTGACATGGAACCACAGGTGGGATTTGAACCTGGGCCGGAGGAGGAAGGCATCCGTAGATAGGGCGCGCGCACTAACCACTGTGCCACCAGCGCCCCATAATTATTCTCTTTTGAAGGCGTTTTCCACACAGGTACCAGTTCAGGAACAGCTCCAATTTCACTTAAGTTAAGATTCATATTTACTCTGTGGTGTGGTTTTTTTTTAGACGTAGATATTGTAACTGTAGTGAAAGGTTTAATGTAGCTGGTAATGATATCTGTGTTTATAAACTGATCAATTTAGCTGCAACCAAATCCTGAATGACACACTGAACATTTAGGTGATGCACATCTGCAGCTACATCTTAGCCATACTGCTCAAACAGGCTGAGTTGCTGTTGTGGAATGAACATTGCCTGATCTAAAGACAAAGATCTGGGCTCTACTGTCGAGTACTGTCGACTGTCGACTGTCAATGACAAATTGACATGTTAATAAGTTGCTTTCTTTTGGCATTAGTCTGGTGCTGATCTTCGCTTCAGACTTCAATTAAATATCTTAGATGTTTATTATTTTTATGATTTATAAAAAGATAATTGTATCCTTTGTTGTCCGCTCTGAACAATAAGACATTGTTCCAAGTGGACACTTTAACTGAAGCTTAGCATAGCTCTCAAAACTGACGGCAGCGTTATTATTGGGTGAGATACTGAGAATCAGTTTCACTAATAAATGACACTGCACCATATGGTGTTGTTCATGGTAGATTGGTCCCCAGAAAGAGATTGTTCTTTACACGTCTCATTTTAAGATAACAAGAACAAATACTCCTCCAGTACACTGCAACTCTGTCTGGAGTTTGGATCTTCAGAAGATATCTTTCTTTGGCAAAGTTTTACTTTAAATCTCCCCGTCGAGCCCCCTAAGTTTTTCTACACAAGCGGAGTGAGGGAGAGGTGGACAAACGAAGAGATAAAGGCTGTCAGACAGAAGCATGGGGGATAAATCAGGCCCAAGCAGACAGGTGAGGGTAAAGACATAAAGATAAGTCCATCCGATGGGCCCTGTGTGTGAGCCTGCTGCCAACTGGACTGTGCCAGCGCTGTTGTGTTTTGGTAAACACCATCATGCAGGGAGTTAATCCACCCAGCTTACCTTTTCAGTGCTTTTGTTCCCCTAAGTAACACAAAGGCCTTAACACACATTCATGCTTCTATGTGAGCATATGTACAGTAAGTCAAATACATCACACGTACACGTGTGGATGTTTTATTTATAACTGCGAGTTAATAACTTGCCCAGGGACACAGAGTTTTCCCTGGACGTCTCGATGGACGTCGACCAAGATGACAGAACAAACACGCGAACAGCAATGTGGAGACACAGTGGCTTTCACAGAATAATGACAGCCTGCTCAGAAAGACCAATATCGAGACAACTGTTTAGCCCCAGCCATCGCAGGCCACAGAAACTGTATGTTGCCAAGGCGACTGCATATGAGCACTAATTGCCCTTAACGGTACCCATGATGCAGAGAGGAAGGAGCTGCGCTTCCCTTACTAGGTAAATGTAACATTTAGTGCAGAATAAAAGCAGTCTCTTGCTCGTCTTTTTCACATGGCAACAACCCTGATTGTATTTTTTTATCACTATGATTGTAGACAGTAAAGAGATCAAACATTTAATGTGTTTATTTTCACTTAGGAATATTATTTAACCTTTACCTACAATGCAAGATTACTGTGTGTCATGCTCAACTGGCAGTAAAATTCCATTTACACAGAGCTCAGGTTCTACAAATAAAAAATCTGTGAAAAGACCGAAGAAGTGACAGAAGTGTCAAATGGGATGTATTATCACAAACCTGATAGTACACTCTATACTCTGGCATAGTTTCTTTTTCTGTTCTTTTTTTCTTGCTCTGGCAGTAGGTTGTACTTGTTATGATTTCTTCGTGCTCGACAAAGTGAACTCCAGCGCATGAAGTTCTGTAGGTTGAAAAGAAACCAGTATAATAATCAGAGTTTGTATGTTTTTAATATTTTCTCAAATTCACAATTTTATTTATTTTTCTATGTTATTTTTCAAAGTTTAGGAATATCCTGAAGTTTTTTGTATACTATTGCTTCATTTTCAGCAATATCTGGTTATTCCACTGAGGATGATTTCACACTTGGGACCCAGATCCGAGTATGCTTGACCCCAAAGTCAGGTTGATTTGATCATTGTGAACACAAACAAACTTTACTCGTACCGTACCCGGTTTACCCGGAGTCTGCTTGAAGAGGTTTTCTCAGGCACAATTAATGTGTACTGGAGTAAGGGCCACGTGGGAAGCGAATGCAACCGTGCTCAAACAAGGTGGACCGCTACATGACATAATTCTAAACGGCTCATGTTGCTTCAAAAACCTTAATGTTAAAGAAGTATGAACTTTTGCCTGAGTTATTAAAGCTAACCCAATTCATATTAAATAGCTCCACATCATAGTGATCACCTTGGAGCTATTTGAAGTATCGAAGCTATTACAAGCCAGGGTACTGGTGGCCAGGCTGTTGGTGTGTTTGCTCCATCTATGGAGGCTGCTGTCCTCCAGAGCGGTCAGCCCGGGTTAAAGTCCAATCTGTGGCTTCTTTCCTCTATGTGGTTCCTCAGTATCTCTCTCCCTGGTTTCTGTCAGTGTCTGTAAGCTTGTTTGTGCATGTGTACACAAATAGGTGTACATGTCTCTGTTTTGTAAGGTTGTGCCCATGCTCATCCTGCAGGATGTGTGAGTCTTGGTTTTTCCAAGTGCAGTCTCTATGAGGTCAGTGGCTGCTGTGATAATGCTTAACTGATGCCGGCTGTCAATAGCCATTCACCAGGAGAAAAGTGCTCCGCCTGTTCAGTAAATTACACAGTGCGACGTGAGCAGTGAGGTTCAAAACAACCTGACCCCACTGTTGTTGTGAGAAACAATAGAACAATGACTGCAATCAGCTTTTTGCAGCAACCATCTGTGTCATGCTGCTGACTACAAAACACCTTTCCATTACTCCAGGGCTTCAGCTATTAGCTCACCGTGCCATTGACTCCACAGTGAGTTGAAGAGGTTATTGTAATGGCACATTAGATTGTCTTCGACCCTTCTTTATCCGGTCTTTTGTTTTGCTGACCTTGACATAGGTTTGCTTTTTGAATGCTATAAAGCTTGTGAAGTGATCATTTCTCACAATGGCTTTTTTTAATCTATTTTATTTTCACACACAGACATGCTCGTGAGGCGTTGTTGTATTGCTGATTGTACTCGCTTTTTTTTTTTATGTGTTTGTGTTTGAGACGATTGTTTTTCCTACTTTTTCCCTTGACTCTGTCCATCTCACGGCTTCTGCAAGCATGCCCGGGAGCAGTATGAGAAACTGTCCACGATGCACAAGAACATGCAAAAGCTCTACGAGAGCATCGGCAGCTACTTCGCCTTCGATCCCCACTCGGTCAGTGTGGAGGATTTCTTCGGAGAACTGGCCAACTTCCGCATCCTCTTCATGGTGAGTACATAGCTCTATGTTTTTTTGTGTATGCACTGTACATGAATAGTCTTGTGATTTCTATCCCTTTGAAGCAGAGACACACACGCACATGCGCACACACACACACACACACACACACACACACACACACACACACACACACACACACACACACACAGAATAACAGAAGCCACCACTCACACTGGCACATTCTTTCGCACACACTTTCACTTGCTTCCACACATTGGGAGTCAGTGAACACTGAATGTGTGACAAATGAGAGCAGAAATGTGGTGTTCAATGTGCACAGAGTTTCATCAAGCTTATAGGTGACTGATGGTAAAAACATGTGTTAACATTACCGGGTTATAATTCTTATGGATGAAACTCAGGTGTACAGCAGGGCCCTTGCTATTGATATATACATGTGTGCTATGTTTTGTGCCACAATATTATATTCATAATAAACAATTAAGTGAACTCAGTCATCTTTGATAGCATGCATTTTTTATAGTTAAACCTCAAACTTAATATTACCAGAAAAATCAATACAGACATCTTTATTATTGGAAAAAATGAATATCATGAAGTGTGCATTAGACATAAACAAGGCAAATCTAGTAGTTCCATCCATTTTGGACACATGGTTATCCCCATCACAATACACCGACAGTTGCTCCCCGCAGAGGAACATTGTCGAAATACTGTTGTCAGATAAGTTCAAAGTTTCAAATATTACAAAAAAATCTAAAATCTTTATCTGTGTGCTGATTAGAGGTTGGAAAACATGTGATGTACAAATTAAGATTCTTATCTTCTCAGATTTTAAATAGATCCATAACTTCCAAAATTTGATTTTTATTTTTTCTTGGCAAATCAGTCACTCCCTGCTAAGGCTAGCTCTTTAACTCGTAGAGTAGAATCCCAAATGGAGCAGCAAGAAATTCAGCCAATCTCACAGTTGACTGAAGAGGATCCTGAAGTACTGTATGTAGTCATTCAAAGATAGACTTTGAATCATAAATCCAGAAATGTTTTGAATCATCATAGGTGTGGCTGTGGCTCAGTTGGTAGAGTCGTCGCCTCTCAACCGGAAAGTAGAGATAAAGATAAAGATAAACTTCATTGATCCTCCATGGGGGACATTTTTGCGTTGCAGCAGCTCAAGAAAACAGGAAACAGGAATATAATTATTAAAAATAAAAATAGAAGTTAAAAATCAAACATATTTACATCAGTTAAATAAAAAAATACAATAATAGAACATTACAAGGTAAGAATATTACAAGTAGAGGGTTCAATCAATCAATTCAATCCCCAGCTAAGCAACATGTCCGATATGTCCTTGGGCAAGACACTTAACCCCTAACCCCCCAAACACCGCCGCTTCGGTGGCGGTGTATGAATGGATTAGTGTTGTACTTACTCTCTGATGTACGTCGCTTTGGATAAAATTGTATTGTAGAATTGTAGAATCGAAAATAGATTGAATCGTGACCCCAAGAATCGAAATCCAATAGAATCGTGAGACACCCAAAGATTCCCAGCCCTAGAGCTGATGGTGAAATTTTCAAGAATAATTAATTTGTAGAACTGTTATAGATCAGATAGTAAAACATAGATATGATATAGATACATTATATTTGCAGATCTGTTTCATAAGACAGGCGTGTAGGAGAGCAATATGTCCATCAAAAACTTAACATTGACAACCTATTAAATACACATCATGTTTCTCATCACATCCACAAGTCTTTCTTGTAATAAAATATAAAATGTTTAGCTCGGGATGACACCTTGGCTAAAATAATTTCACCAAGTAGTGCACAGACGCTACACATGTAACCTCATGTTTTTGAAGGAGATGCACTAAAGGAAGGGGACACACAATCAGTAAACTGTTTTTAATATAACCGCCTCCACCATGCATGTTATGTTGAAGTGTAAACTGAGCAGGGTAATTGATCAAGTTGACTGTAATTTGAACAAAGGTGTCTGTGGTTAAATCACAAAAGCCTGCTGATCGTTCAACAATATTTAACCAGCTGATCTGCTGTGACTAATTGCTGCCTTCAAAAATAAATAACCAGTGCAGAGGAATTTTTAGCACTAAATGTGTAAGATGACAGAGTCACCTAAAAAACATATTAATCTTCATTCTGACCCTGGGACATTAATGCCACTATCCTTTAATGAAAACATGGGTTTATTTGAGAAGTTAACATGGTCTGAATATTATATCACACTAAGTATGCTGAGATGTTGACCTGCTCTGAGCATGTGGGCAGTGAACAAAATTGCAGCGCAGTAATAGATTGGCTTGGCCACGCCCTCTGCAACGCCCGCATGGCCCTCTTCCCATTGTGGTGCACAGGGTCACCAATATACCAAACCAGTACAGAAAAGGATATTGACTTAATGAGCCCTCAACAACACCAACATCTATTTCCCAAGAGTCTTTAAAAAAGTATGTATTCCAATGTAATATATGTCCAACCCTTTTAAACCAGAGTAAAGGCAAAAACATACAGATAGCATGCAGGGTTACTCTTATGTTTGGCCACATGTTCCTTTTTGATTAAATAGCCTATATTAAAGATACAATGTGAGATATTTGGAAGAAATGTACAATATAGTGTTTATTTTTGCGTCTTATTTTACCTTATTATGTCTTGCGGTTCCTCTAAACGTAACATCCCTGCATGACTAACCTCACGGATGTTAGAAAAGCAATATGTTTGCCATTTACTACAGTATGTTTTTGTGAACCACAAAACAAAACATTTTAGACACAATCCCTTGAATTAGTATATGACCTTAAAGATGGGGAGGTGGACAAATAAGAAAAAGATCAAATTCAGAGACAGCATCCTGTGTTTAGAATTGGTGCCTCAGAATTGGTCACACACTTAAACAAAATCTTTCATTAGCTTCCAATAATGCAATTTCATCCTAGCTTTACATTAAACTCTTCCTACCTGGAAACAAACCCTACGTCTGTCAAACCCTACAGCCCTCGTAACTCAGGCTGTCTGTTACAATTATCCATCATTCGTTCAAGCTCATTTACTCACATGATGTCACAATGCCGTCATCTGGGCTATTTTCAGATCTCCTTCAGAGCCTCAGAAGACATTTTTTTTTTACAACTGCAATCTGGAAGAAAGCAACATGTAGAAAAAAAACAGTCCCCTCGTCTGTGATCTGATTGTCCATAAAAGATGTGTGATTTTCAGCCAATCAGCTGCTAGCTTCAGATCTTGGGGTGATGTCAATTCCCTCACCTACAAATGCCAGAAAGTTTCTGGTGTGGGAGACTGCACCATGTTTTCTGGCCTCAGTTTTTTGTATTCCCTTGGTTGGCCCTGACATGCTTTTTGGTCCAGCTTTCAGGTTCTTTCACTGTTCTTTGCAAGAATGTAACCACACTTACCTGCTGTGTGTTTTCCTTTATGTCAGATTTTAGTAGGTCATAAAGCAACAGTGTCTGCTAGAGATGTTTTCCCACGTCACTTACATAACCTCTTTTTTTATCTGTTTTTTTTCTTCTTCACATCACTTCCTTCAGTTCCATCTTCAACTGGAATGTAATAAAATAGGTCTCTTGTAGATCACTCAAGGCTCTCTTCTTGTAAATGATAAAGATTTAATGATTTAGAAAAGGGACATTTTTTTTTCTAATCACACTAATGATGTGGAAAAATACCCTTTCAGTGGTGGTCATGACTGGTCTTGATTTAAAATCCTGAGTCCGCCCAGTCTAAGACTGAGACAAGACCAAATAAAAATGCTTAAGATTCCAAGACGAGCCCTGGACCTTCAACAAGTTGTCTCGAGACCGATCTTGAGACCAAGAGTGATTTCCAGTCCTACAACAGCAAATATCACAAATGAGTGCTTGTTTACAAGACATTGTGTGAATACAGAAGCACAAAAGCAAGTTCATTATGATATTGGTGGTATGGAAAAAGCTCAAAATGAAATATTTCCGCCTACATGCACTGCACTCTACAATCAAGACGACATTGACCTGAGCTTAAACCTTAACAGCAGAACTTTTGAGATACTTCCAACTAGTACTGATTAAGCGATGTCTTCTGACCGACTTTGCAGCTGTAATAGAAAGTTATTAAACAGATTAGAATACATTATTTTAAAGTAGAAATGAGGATAGTGTATTATTTCAGTGTCTGGCTGATAAAAGAGGCTTGGCCAAGCTTCTTAACCTGTTAAACGTAGTTTCATTACTTTGCCGCTGCGTGTGTGTACTTGTGTGTGCATGTGCTGTCACTGCAGGGCATTGCAGATCTTCCTGGATTTTGTGAGGGGTAATGAGTCTGGAGAGGAGGTTAAGATGTTCAAGTCCTGAAGTAGACGAAATTACATTTCACTTCCCACCCGAGGGCTTAAAAAATATATTTAAGGGTTGCTTGGAAAAAGTTCCTGAAAAAGTATCATATTTCCTTTTACTAAAATTAGAGGTATTAGACATGTTCACTCAACAGTATATTTATTTAAAATATTGAGCTTAAACACCATTTGACAGGTATATTACACTTTCAAATGTTCATCTACAGTAAATGTACAAAGTGAATGTATAAGTGAGAAGAGTTTGCTGTGAGGTTAAGGGGAGTATAAATTCAGATTTTGTAAAAAAAAAAAAAAATTACAAATTCCTCTGGCTGCATGCCCATGCTAAAGAAAAAGTGGCGACTGAGAGCAGTGACAAAAGCACATACTGTAGGGCAAAGCAGCCTCGTTTTTTCAAATAGTATTAAGAAGATAATGTTGAGGTTCACACCACATCATCTCAGAGCAAAGTAAAGTTATTTTTTTTCCTGAATAAACAAGTTAAACATACATTAAATAGGCTTTGCTTTTCTACAACCTACATTCTATCCATCCCTCCTGGCACCGCCCTAAAAATTCCTAGTGTCAGGATGATGACATGGTGTCTAAAAGGCAAGCACCCAGTCTTCACAATCTATTAATGTGAATGGCAAGGTCCCCTTGTCATA